GTCGGATGGAGGAAAGAAAGTAAAGAGAGAAAAGATGTGCAACAAAGAACACAGCAACTTTCAGACAGGCTGCCTTAAGGGTCAGCATGGAACAGAATAAAATGGAGAAGTGAGCTGAGAGGATGGATACGGTCCCGAGTCCACTTGCCTCACGGCCCACAGAAGAATAGTGAAAGACAAGGTGCTGAGAGGCGCACAGGTTGTGTCAGGGTGCCCAACATGACACAGGTTCGGTGATTCTCTAGGTGGACTCGACGGACTTGGGGTGTAGTTGTACTCACAGTTAAGGTTTATTACAGCAAAAGGACAGAAAGAAAAATCAGTAAACAGAAAAAAGTCCAGAGGAAATGACGCACAAGCTTCCAAGAGTTCCTCCTCATGGAGTCCTACATGCACATAATCCCTCCAGTAACAAGTTGCGTTGACCTTTGTGAAGTGTTGACTACAAGGGAAGCTCATTAGAGACTCAAAATTTTCATTGGGGATTGATCGCACAGGCACCCTGTGCCTACCATTCATCAAAATCCCTGACTCCCAGAAGAAAAGCAAGTGTTCATTATAAACCTTATTGCTTACACAACAGTTTAGTCATATTGAGCTACTCTTATCAGTCAGTGTGATGGGAACACTCCCGAAATTGAAGTTTCCAGATGCCAGCAAATGGCCAACCTTGTGAGCGGGCCCTTCTAAGAATCATAGCAGTCACAGGTCTGGATGTTAATTTTTTTCTGAACCCAAGTATGCACAATGTTTTACACACAATAACCACACCTACTAATAAATGTGAGCCAATCAAAATTCCATAATCTGTCCAATCAAATTAATATCTCCTGATTTTTGAGGTGGAAGAAGGAAAAGGATTAAAAGAGAAACAGAACAAGATGGAGAAGTATTTTTCTCACCTACAGAGAAGAAGCTCCAAGTTAGCTCAAAATCAGTAATAAGTGGGAAGAATAAAGATGAAAGCTATGAAAAGGCAAAGAATCTTCCTTCCCAGTTGCCATATCCAGGAAAAATAGACATAAATCATTAACCTTAATAACCTTGTTATTCATGGATTCCTAATGTGCCAGTCACCTACTTGCTAAATTTTTCTGGAACCCCCAAATCCCTACTTGCTGTACTTTCCTGGTCATTTGCACACCTGCACAGAACAATGAAAAATTTGTCACTTGAGGCTCATGTTCCCAGTTGATATAAAATGTGCCATCTCCCTGCCTCCTTGCTTCAGCTCCTATACTGCTGTCCTTTCCTTGGTTCATCTAGTGCCACAATTTTTTGCATGCTTCTGCTTTTTGTTGGTGATTTTGCTGCTTAAAATGGCCCTCAAAGGTAATGAAGTCCTGTCTAGTGTTCCTAAGTGCGAGATGGCTATGATGTGCCTTATGGAAAACATACTAGGTTTGACAAGCTTCATTTAAGCATGAATTACAAGTGCTGTTGGCCATGTGTCCAATGTTGATGAATCAACAATATGCATTAAACAAGAAACACACATAAGGTTATGTATTGATTCGTTGGTAAAAGTATTGTGATCAGAGGCTCACAGAACCTAAAATGGGAGCAATGGTTTAGTATTCACTAATTTGGTGTGTGCCGTGGCATCTTCACAAAACAAAACTACCAAAAGAAACAAGACTCAACTGTAACTAGAGCATCACTTTACAGAGAAATAAACCCTACCTATCAGTTTACCATAATGTCACCTAGTTCTATAATATACCGTGTGTGAATGGCAGCGACAGTGACCATGGGCGCAGAGGGGGAGTGACTACTCTGAGCCCTGAGACAAAAGAAACTCAGAACCAAGGACAGTAGGTTAATTCAGGAGTTGAATGGAAAACAGAAGCAGAGCCTAGGTTAACCCAAAGACATAAACAAATAGGCTGTAGGACTGGGTGGGGTGGGGCAGTTCTAAGATCTCTAGCTGGGTTTGGAAACAACAGGAAAAAAAAAATTAAAAGGACATGCTTGAGAGTCCTGGTAAAGGTTCCAGGTCAAAGCTGGTTTCAAGGGGGGCACCAGGGTGGCTCAGTGGTTGAGCGTCTGCCTTCCGCTTAGGTCCTGATCCCAGGGTCCTGGGACTGAGTCCCACATCGGGCTCCCTGCATGGAATCTCTTCTCTCTCTCTGCCTGTGTCCCTGCTTCTCTCTCTGTCTCTCATGAATAAATAAAATCTTAAAAAAAAAAAAAGGGGGCAGCCCCGGTGGCTCGGCGGTTTAGTGCCTGCCTTCGGCCCAGGGCATGATCCTGGAGTCCTGGGATCGAGTCCCGCATCGGGCTCCCTGCATGGAACCTGCTTCTCCCTCTGCCTGTGCCTCTGCCTCTCTCTCTCTCTCTGTGTCTTTCATGTTAAATAAATAAAATCTTTAAAAAAAAAAAAGCTGGTTTTAAGAAAACAGGTAAAGAATGGAGTCTATATTAGACAATGGAAAAGAGAAGCTGGGTCATAGAACAGTTTCAGATCACCGCTGTGGCTCCCAGGGCTGTCTGCCCACCGATGGACTTTGGAGCACCCTTCCTGTTACTGACAGGTAGGTGTTAAAGGGTAGAGGCCAAAAGCTCCAAAAGGCAAGCTTCCCAAAGCCCACACAGTTGTAACACATTACTAGACATATTGTTTTCATCTGCTTTGAAAGACCAAATGTTCCCCCCAGCCGCCCCCACCACCCAAGCATGCCATCCGGGATTTAAAAATAAATAATTAACTACTTCTCACCACCACCATAAAAGAAACCTCAGGCAAACAGACAGCTATTACAAAAACTTGAAGTCTGAATTTGTTTAGTAATCAAAACCTCCCACCAAAGTCTTTTGTCAGAACAAACTGGAAATTTAATTTCAGAACTCACCTTGTCAAAATGCATGCAAGGTGACTTTGAAATCTGTCACAATTAACAGTCACTCTAAGTCAAAGGAGTTTTTTTGTTGTTGTTGTTGTTTTTGTTTGTTTTTTTTTTTCTTGCACACTACCTTGGGTCTCTATCTGAAATGCAAAACCAAGTTTTAGATGTTTGCTTACATCTAAATGTAAGCAAGTTGATGACACATTTATCAGCAAGATGAAAACAGGGCATCTGTAACACAAGCCCCTTAAAAAGATTTCTTATAGATTTCATTGCCTAATAAAAAGTCTGATGAGGAACTTTTACTGTCACACATTTTCATATTTTTTGAGCTCTGGCAAACACATTCCTGACAGCAGGGTAATCAATATGAATAAAGGGAGGAATTTCTAATCTTCAGGATTGAGATTGACAGCAAAGTCTCCTTCATTTGCATACCCCCAAAACATTTTTTTCCCCAATTATCTTTTGTGGTTTTTCCTCACTGGCTGCTGCTGCTGAGTAATTTTACAACACTAATGCTATTAAAGCATGCACTCATGACCCCATTGTGACACAAAGCAAATAATGCACATAGGGAATGCAAGCACGTAACTGCTAATCTTGCCTTTAAATGCATTTGAACTTGACCTATTGAAATGCCCACGACAGAATGCATGACAACCTGGCAAAATACAGGAGGCAAGACACAATCCTAGGAAAGAAGATTCTTTGAAAATGAATCACTTGAAGGACTGCAGTGTGGTAGGAATTGAGAATAATGCAGTATCACATAGTGAAGTAACCTGCTTAAACTCTACAAACAAGGCACCACCTATAAAAGCTGTAAGATTAGAGCACGGTAGCATCTGAATTGACCCAGGAATGACTTTTAGATTAGAGAAAACAACAATAATAATACAAAGAACATATATTTATAAACATGGATAGTGTAACATGTTTTACTCTGAAGCAAATACCTCTTCACTGTGCTGATACAAAAAGGCTTTCCAATTCTGTATACCTTGTGAAGCATATCTAAGGATCTAAAAGTGACCACAATCATCTATACTGAAGCATTTTCACTCATCCTGTCCACTATCAAATTATAGGTTCATCACCATCACAGAAACACAACATGGAATGAATCTTATTCTGCATTATTCTGATGGGGGAAATCACACAACTAGCTTTCAGATGGTGCTGGAACACAGGTGTGTGTCTCTAAGAGCTTATGGCAAATGGCACATATCCCACCTATGTAAATGTCACATGTGAGTTATTCTCTTAGTGTTCTTTATTTTGTGTAATTCACAGATTTCTAAAGAGGGAGATGGTAATATGTTGGAGAAAATACCCCCTTATCCACAGGGGATATATTTCAAGTTCCTCAGTGGATGCCTGAGATAGTACTGATAGTACTACAGACAGTACTGAACCCTAGGTATACTGCATTTTTTCCCGTATATATACATATCTATGGTAATGTATATTTTATAAACTAGGCACAGTAAGAGATTAAAAACAATAATTGATAATAAAATAGAACAATTATAATGATATACCATAACAAGAGTTATATCAATGTGGTCTTTCTCTCTCAAAAATATCTTTTTTTTTAAGATTTTATTTATTCATGAGAGACACACAGAGAGAGAGAGAGAGAGTGAGAGAGAGAGAGAGAGAGAGGCAGAGACACAGGCAGGGGGAGAAGCAGGCTCTATGCAGAAAGCCTGACACGGGACTCGATTCTGGGACCCCAGGATCAGGCCCTGGGCTGAAGGTGGCGCTAAACCGCTGAGCCACCTGGGCTGCCCTCTCTCAAAATATCTTATTGTACTGTACTCATGCTCACATGAGGAAAAGAAGTAAGGGGAATAATGCAGGCATCTTGACGTAGCGTTACACCCGCTACTAGGTATTGACCTCCTGATCATACTTCAGAAGGAGGATCATCTGCTTCCAGAGCACAGTTGACTGCGTGGAACTGAAGCTAAAGCCACAGAAAGCAAAACCACAGATAAAGGGGAATACTGCAAACAAAGGTCTTTGAGCCGGAATGACTATATGGTTGTAAATATTTAAAGCAAACGCAATGGTTGGGTAAAACTGAAATCCTCAGTGATAAAGTATAAAAGTTCAACATTTAGACTTCATGATGAACATATTATATTTTATTAATTTTCTATGCAGAAAAAAATATGATTTTGACATCTTTAAATTGTATAAATATTTCAATGTTTTAACAGGCACGATTAGGAGATGTACATAAGAATAATACCAAAATAAAAAACACCAACCCCCAAATAAAACCAAAATCCCAAACCCAGCATATTAAATTTAGATATTAGCATTCTATATTTCCCAATTATACATCAGACAAAATGAAAGTTACAAGAGTTGAGAAGTTTGGAATCAGACCACTTTTAATGCTTCAAAGGAACATTTCTTAAATATTGCTTATTTAATATCTTCACAAGTAAGACTAGTGTGATCATTGGTTCTTTCATTAGGATGAAAAGAACACTAATCTGTTCTAAAAATCCTGGAGAAAATAACATTAACCTGTTGTAAAAAAATCCTGGAGAAAATTCTTGATTATAACTGCCAAAGATACACAACTCGTTTATTTTTTTTAAAAAAATTTAAGATTTTATTTATTTATTCATGAGAGACACAGAGAGAGGCAGACACAGGCAGAGAGAGAAGCAGGCTCCATGTGGGGAGCCTGATGTGGGACTCGATCCCAGGATCCCAGGACCATACCCTGAACTAAAGGCAGATGCTCAACCACTGAGCCACCCAGGTATCTCCACAATTAGTTTATAATGAGAGGGATTTTAAGTATATTTGTCCAATCTTTCTCTGTTTAGCTTTTGAACACTGTGCCATGTTCTAAAACAATAAAGGTTTTCTACAAACATACCATGTCTTTACAATAATAAAATTACATTAAAAAATAACTCTCTCTATATTTTTTTGCAAATCTTTGCAAGTATTGACTCCGGGTTAGTGCTTCCTCTCTAGCAAGGTATAAACTCACACCTCCATTTAGCCAGACAAGAATCAAATGCCACACTTGGATTGCTGAGCATCTCTATTTTGATAGAACTATGCTTCCTCCAATTGCATACCTGCCACCACTGAATGCTTATTATGAAAGCTAGAAAGTGTCATTACACATTATTGCAGAATGTCATTTTCATTCAGGCAATTTACTTTCTCTCTCTCTCTCTCTCACACACACACACACACACACACACACACAATTTAAATACAAATATCTACAAAATAACACAGCTTTGATGAAGATACATAGTGTGAAGTATCTTTGGTAACAGTTTTAAAAAAGATTAATTTTATTTCATCTAGGAAAAAAATAGCTACAGTGAAGTGCTGTTTTTCTCTCTATAGAATTATTTCTAGTTTTAAGATATAGGCCTTGGTTTTAATTCAGTAGGATGTCTCATAAATAGCTGCTTTTTCCTCCATCAAACCTTAAGAAAGTAGGATAACTTATATCACCGTCTGGCAATTCCTAGCTTGACTGTCATAGATCAATACAACCATCTCTAGCCACATTGGGCCTGATCAAAATTAGTGAAGAGGAATCCAGAAGGCAGCTATATTGAATATAACAGGCAAATGTTTATGGGAATCTCAGAAAAACAAAGATAGATAGTGATGCTTATTTGCTTGTGGGTATTTCTCTACTTGCCCAGAAAACATAATTAAACTCTAAGCCTTTCAGGTACAATGGACTGTGACTCATAAAAGCCTATGCTTATACTTCCTCAGAGCAGTGTTTGGTTTTTGCTATGTTATCAAAAAATTTACTAAGGTTGATTTACCCAGGGAATTTCTCTTCCTCAGCAAGTTTTCCCCTCTTCTTCCCCACATGCTTGCTCCACTACATCCCAATAAAAGGCATGCAAGCAGAGGTAGAAATCACACATTTTTATGTTCATAGCCTTACACTCTTCAGGGGCAAAGGCTACACATCTCTGGATTTCTAACCTAGGGCCTGTCTACTCTACACACTAAAGGTAGCTGGACAAAATGATGACCCTGGCACTCTCAGGGTAAACAGAACTTCAATCAATCATTACTTTTGAAAGCAATTTCTACTTTTCCCAACTCTGAATATGAATCAAATTTTAATGTGAAGAGAAAAAAATGAAAGAAAGGTCCCTGTCAATGCCATTTGGTAAGCAAATGGCGACCATCTTTAAAACAAGGACATAATTGCACCTGGTGAGCACCTAGCTATGTGGTTAAAGATGCTAAGCTGACTTGAGAGCTAGATTTTTCCTAAACTAGCCAGTCCCTGGGAATCAAGAATAAACTGTGCAGTAAGTACATCAAGTCACAGAATGTGGAGTACAACCCAGGTCACATTCTGACATATATGTGGTAATAAGGTATTTTACATTCTTTTAAGAGTTGGTTGGAGGGGAACACCTAGAAGATGGAAGTGTTTTCTCCCTAATGTGTTGGCTGCCATGTATTTTTTAGCAGATAATCAAGGCCCCCCCATTTTGTACATTGTGGAGATTTCTCACCACTAAAATGAATTATATAATCATCCTAATTGATAACTAGTTTTAAATGAATGTGCAGGTGAACAGATACACTGTTACAATACAAGACAGAACTTCTGTTGCTCAGTGTCTGCATTTATGAAGAAGGGTTCATTCAATGGGTGGAAGGATAAGAGCAGAGAAATATGACCTTGCAGTGACAGAATTTTAATGTGCAGTGTATGCAGCTGAAAAAATGCATGGCAGACTCCGTTTTTTTTTTTTTTATTGCTACATATATTAGCACATTTACATAATGCTGGTTCTCGTCTAAACGGCAGGGTTGTCTCCAGGTCAACCAGCAGCTCATGAAAGCTCTAATTCTCCTAGAAGCCAGATATAACTCTGATCAAAGGTAACGCTTCTGCTAAAATTCTAATCGCAATGTAAATGTGAAAGGACCCCTAGAAACAAACCAAACATTACATCCTTCTACATTTTCTCAAACCACAGTAATAGCCAGCTCTGCCACACTTGAACATCTATCAAGTTCTGAAAAGAAAAGCATCATCACGTTCTGATGTGTTCAATAATTTTTCTTTCCTTGACTCCTTTTTTTTTCCTTCGTAGTTTTGCTCTTCTGAAGCATTTCTTGCCCTTACCAATAAAAATGCTGCTTAACACTGCAGTAAGATTATTGTTGTGTTATTTTATGTTGTAAAATAAGAAATCCACTTCTAGATTTTATCAACAGGGCCATAATTTTTTTTTTATAAGAGAAACTAAACATTCTGCATATTCACTTCAAAAAACTTTCTGGTCTCTGTTTTAAAACAACATTACTTAACTTTTTGCTAATTTTAAGTGACTGGCATGGCCATTTTTCTCTTTCTCTTTTAATGGACCCTTCTTTGCTAAGTATTTGAAGTCTTCTGCTTCTTTGGTTTGGAAAACTTCATCCAGCTAGCTTTCGCAACTTTGTCCTTTGAGAATACCACAGTATGGGATAAAGAAGCTGGGGTAATGGAGTGGGGATTTAGACAGAAGGAGACAGAGAGTTCTCATTGTTCTGCGCTGGTTGAAGTAAATGCTCATTATGCTTGGTTTCATTTATTTCCTGTCTCTCTAGTTAACAAAAAGCTGCTTCTTTTCTCCTGAACATAATGGTCATATGAGTAGAGAATAATAATCATCTGTGTTAATAACATTTCCCTGGATGGTTAGAAAGCTGGGAAGTTATGACTTCTGTTTATAAATCTAAATTTAAAATTAAATATTAGTTTTTCCTAGAAACCATACTATGACATATTTCTTCAAAGTTCTGGAGAACATAATCCCTTTGGCATGATTGCCATATTTTAAAACTGATTTCTGGAAATAGGTACTAATTGGCAAAATATAGAAGACTTACATTTAGAATCAGAAGATACATAGGGAAGAAGAGTGTGATTTTCTGCACCTGAATCTGGAGTTAAGACATACTACCTTATTTTCCACCTTGCACTAAATAGAGTTTACAGGGAGACTCAAACTAACAGAACCAGATACATCTTATTAGATATGTATGTCATGAGGAGGGGGAGAGCATCTTTCAGTAGCAGAGGTGAGGAAGGCTGAACCCCAGTTTCAGCTCTGTGACAAACTCAAAGAAGACTTTTTATCCCCCACCACAATGAGTGCAGTCACTACCTGTCACCATACGTTACTACAATATTACTATGCATTCCCTGTGCCATACACTTCACCCAGCAGATGATGGAGCAAGATACCATTTCCCTTTATGCCTTGGTTTTGTAGACCACAAAATAAAAGTACTACTCCTAACTTCAGACTTTTATGTTCCTATAACATTACTGGGTATGAAAATATCCTGGACAGCACACAAAAAGGAAATGTTTATCAATAAGCAGCATTTAAAAATGTCTCACCAGTTTGTTTAAAAACAACACCACAGATTAGCTGAGCTAACCTTAAGGGAAAAATATTTTTTTAAGTTTTTTTTCTCTTTAACATCATAGACATTCTTTAGCACTAACATTATCTGTTGATGACAATGGCCCATTGGCTTCCAGCCAGCCTCTTTAACAATGCCGTATCATTTAAGTCTATTACCTGCTGTGAGTGCTCCAAATAAACACTGATTTGGGGAGTCATAAGTAACTTGGATATAGAAATTAAATCATTTCAGCCTATGCTTTGTCTATATTTCTTTTATTTTTTGCTTTAAGTGCTTCTATTATCACAATCACCCAGCTGGCATTTTAAATCACTAAATGAAAAAAACAAAAAAACAAAAAACTACCATTTCATTTTTAACCTGACTTAAAAAAAAGAAAAAAAAAGTAAGCCCTGAATATGTATGTGTGTGTGTATGTGTGTGTGTATGTATGTATATGAATCTGAGTCTTTTATTATTATGGATATGTAAAATCACAGCCTTCCCTTGCATAAAGCAGGACACCTGAAAAGATTAAAAACCCAGGGAATGTTCTGCTGGATTCTGTTTGAGGGCATATAAAGAGAATTTCCTTTCCTTTGTCCAGAGAGCTAATTTCCTACTATAATCTTATAAAAATAGATAGTTTCTTGCAAAAAAAAAAAACATCACACAAAAAAGTATAGGTAGAAAGACCTGTAGTGATGGATTATTTTGTTTAGAGGTTCTTAAATTGGGGTCCTTGCTTTTGGAGATTATTTGTGGGCTTCCCAAAACTGTAATATTTTGTATCAATGTCATTTATCTTCACTTTTAATCAGGTTCTCAAAAGGATACATTACCCAGAAAAGATTAATAACTACTAATCTAGTCCAAATGAGAAATCTTAATCCCAGAGTGGGAACAACTTGCCACAGTCATACCATTGGCCAGTGACATCCAGAGTTGCAGAATTCAAACCCCTGAGGCTGCTCATGCTAGTGTACATGCAAACAAATTATGTTTCTTCAACTTGGATCATCTTGTGAAAAAACACTGCCTGCTATATTTGTTGCAAAGGTAAAGTGTGCTTATAGAGATCTCAAAGATATCATTTCAATTTTAATATTTATCACCACTGACATAACTGTTTTAAGACCTATATGACAAGACGTAGCCCCAGAGGAGAAAAAAAAAATCCCTCAAAACAAAACAAAACTCTCTTCTACATGCATGATGAAAATCTAATTTTATTACTACCTACAGAAGCAAAAATTTTCTATATTTAACACTTCATGTTTGATCATCAACTAGAATTTTAAAGGAACAAGGATGCTCATCAAGAATAGCAGACCTACCCATAAAGATGTTTCTTTTTTTGAAAAACCTTCCACCTCTTTTACTGAAATTAGGTGTATTCATACAATTACATACATAAACTATGATCAGTAAAGAGTATTGCACATCAAGCCTGTATTACCTCAAACTTCTTTTTACTAGTTCTTTCTGTTATATGTTTTTATGATAATTCTTTTTAATTTAGATAGTGTTGCCAAGATGTACTGGTTATCAAATATGCCTTTAGAGCTAAATCTGTAGGAACATTGCACATTTCCCATATCTTTTTCTGACTTGCCTTCCTTCCACAGAAAGAATAAGAAAGAATTCCAAGGGAAGGAAGAAATATCTGTAAGTAATATATTAATAGCTATTCAATGCTAGACGGTTTCCCTGCTTGGTTGTTACTGGTGAATCAGAGAAAAAAAATGACAGTAGCATCTATCACGTTCTGTTAAACCACACAAAATTTTAACAAAGGCAAGGTAAGTCATTTTGCTTATTTCAGCAATGTGCTATAATTGATAGCAAATGAGCGATGTCTACAAAACAAAATCACTATACTGCAAAAATAACTTAATTCGTAAGTAGGGAAGTAGAGTCATCCCCTGAGCCAAGAATATAATGGCTAATGAGCATAAACTGATAGGATCATGCAGTATAGTCCGAACAGTGACTTTAAACTCAATAATTTCCCATCAAGACCCAGAATACCAAATGCTGCAACAAATACTATTCTTGATTCTGAACTTAAATTCAAATAATTAATGAAATATTTTCTCTTGTGTAGAAAGCAAAGTACGGGCAGGTTTTTTGGTTGTTACTGTTCAGGAATGTGATTGCACTTTCAATGGGCTCCAGTAGAAACCAATGTGTGACAAAAGAAAGACATCTTATGACTCAGTGACCACTGAGAGACACAATGTTCTTCTGTCTCAAAGTGCAAATTAAACAAAGTACCTTAAGGGTCTAAAAATAAGAATCTATGCTGGGGGGAAAAGTAAATAAAAATAACAGAGGCCAAAATACTGACAAAGGAAAAAAGTTATTTAGTCTATACATTCCTTTATGATTTACAGTAATGATATTTTCTTCATTACTATCCAACAGTAATAGATTAAGTAAACTGCAGATGAAAAGGATCGATTAAATCATTGTGTCTGATGCATGCAAAGGAGGGCAGATTTCCATAGAGAGAGGAAAAAGGAAGAAAGATAAATATAAAAATACTCTATCAACATCTACAAAAGTTCATTCAGCATGAAGTCCACAGACATCAAATAGAGGTATTAGCATCAGTAGTGAGGAAGAGGAGACACAAAGTACCCGTATTAATACAGAGTCCTGTGCTATATCTTCAAACATCTACTATATTTGCCTGGAGCTTTTTCTAAATCAAAGCTATTCTGTTTATACTCATGTAGAAAATGTAATCTGAGTTTCAATGCATTTTTAATTTCATTCAATCTTGTATTTGTTCAACCAAAAACAATTTAAAGAGGACCAAGGCTATCAGCCTCACAGTGAGCAAGTGCAGTGCCTCGCTAGGGAGTTCTTGAATCGTCCATAAAAATCAACAGTGTGCATCAAATAGTTTTCTTTTCATTTGAGCACTGAAAAGTGAATCATCACAGCAACTACTCTTCAGGGCCTCTTTGGTTTCCAGATTAAACATGTAATGTGACCTGTCATCCTGCCATATCCTCTGCATTTCCATTTTTAAATAATCATAAATAAGAAAACCTTGCTACTCTTTGGCATGACACAGCTACTTGATTCAGCTGAGCTTCAAAGTCTTAGAAATTGCACTCATTCCTGGTTTAGAGTCCTGATTCTTCTCAAAGGCTTTCAGCTGAAAGATTCTTTATTGTATTCAAATCTTGTCCCATATGAGTTGTTTCGGTTACTCAGTTTGTGAAGAGTCTTAGAAATTGAATTGGGTCCGCAGCAGAAAACACCAACAGTTTTCCTGGTAAGAGAGAGGGAGAAAATGGAAAATCAGGTGGAAAATTAGACAGAACATAACAAGATGTGTCAGGAGCACGGTTCAGGTATTAACAAAGTTCATTTCTTGCTGCTTTGCATGCTGAATTAATTTCCCAATTATTTCCAAATGTAAGTGATCACCATGAAGTACTTCATGCTTTCCCTGCAAGAATTCAGGATAATTCAAGGAATGTAACTAGGAGCACAGATTTGCTTATCATCAGACAGAAAGTGAGCAGTCTGCCCTTAGCCTTTCCATTACATGCAGAAATCAAATTGCAGCAGTGGATAGATGTCCATCCATACTGGATCATGTCAGTCTTCTCTTACTAGATGTTGTATATGCATTTTTCTAAAGATCCCTTGAATTGGCATGGGCAGTGATGAATAAGAGAAAGAAAAGCTACTACCAATTTGAAAGGATAATTTTAAGTAACTAATTTATATCCATGTTGAAACAAAAGCATATTAATCTGTATGCATTTTCTTTTTTATTTATGCACTGTAAATACTGCACCAAATGCCAAGCATGTTTTATTGTTTGCTAACATAAAATTTTAGTATATAAATTATACATATCCCTAACAAACAGACTAAATAAATACCAGAAAATGACTAGTATTTCACATCAATCTTCCTCCTAAGTTTGTTATTTGCATTGAATTCTTCTAGAATACCAAAATGACTAACAATTCATATCATATCTTGGATAAAGTATAGTTTGTCCTCATTATCTTATCTGAGAATAAGTGGTACAGAAAAAAAATCCAGTAAATCCATTTAAATGGGTACTAAGATTTTATAATAAATACCTAAAAAATGATTTTACTAAAACTTTTCACCTTGAAAAATGAAACAAAGAGGGACACCTCGGTGCCTTAGTGGTTGAGTGGCTGTCTTTGGCTCAGGTTGTGATCCCAGGGTCCTGGGATCAAGTCCCACCTCGGGCTCCCTACGCAGAGCCTGCTTCTCCCTCTGCCCATGTCTCTGCCTCTTTCTATGTCTCTTATGAATAAATAAATACAATCTTAAAAAAAAAAAGAAAATGAAACAAAGAACTACAAAAATAGAATTTTTACTTGCAGCCATGATGGAGTAGTGGGGACTAGATTCCTAAGAAAAACAGAAAAAACCGAGGTGAGTTCAGCAACTGTCTCTGCTTATGGCCTGGAGGCAATCTACAGGATGCAGCACAGAGAAACTCAAGCCAAGATTGAGGGTCTCACTGAGTTGAAGAGACAAAGAATGGAATTCATGGAGGACATCAGGCGACAAATTCCAGAATTTGTGGAAGGTAAGAGAGACCCACAGAAGGAAGCTTTGGAAATCTGTAGGGCTGTATCCTCAAGTCTTTGGCTGAGTACTGATTTGCTCATGTGTGAGAGGAAACTACATGAATCTGGATAAGGAACTAGCAGGGAGCAGTAAGGCAAACAATTCTGAGTTGACACAAGGTTGTGAATAATTCATATTCCCACAAGCCAGAACGGAAAGATCTATATATCATACGTGGGCAATGGGTAGTGTTCTAGAAAGTTATCACCTTACTTGCAAGAGGGGGGTGGATGTTGGTAAAATTAGCCTTAGAATGAAGGTGCTCTGGATCTATACTTAAGAAAGATCAAACTGAACCTAAGTCACAAACTGCATGCTAGAAACAAGTCCAACAATATTGAAAAGAGAAGATAAAAATTTGGCATGTAACATCTCAACTTCAAAATTTACAGTATTCAGTAAGAAATTAACAAGAATTTTATAAACCATAACTGGGAATGTTATGGGCTGAACTATGTCCCCTCTAAATTTGTTATGTTGAAAATCAAACCCCCAGTACTTCAGAATATAGTTGTATTTGGAGAGAAAAGCTTTAATGATGTAATTAAGTTAAAGCTTTAGAGTGGATCCTATTCCAATCTGAATAATATCTTTATGAGAAGAAACTGGATACATGAAGAAACATGAGAGAATGCACATGCTCAAAAAGATCATATGAAGAGACAGCAAGAAAGTAGTCATTTGTAAGCCAAGGAGGAAGGTCTCAGAAGAAATTGACCCTGCTAGCCTCTTGATATTAGACTTCCAGCCTCTTGAGTTTTGAGAAAATAAATTTAGCCCATTATCAAACATTTTCTTGAAACAGTGATGAGAAACATACTTCATTATGTTCAAAAGCAAGCATCAACATGGTGAGAAGAGAAATAGAAGATTTTTTCAAGGCCTAAATGGAAATTCTAGTGATCAATGCAACCTTTAAAATTATAAGTATACTGATAGGTTAATAGAAAAATAGGCACTGCAGAAGAAAAGATAATTAAACTTAAAGACCTGGCACTACAATCTATCCAAATGGATCACACAGACTACAAAAATCAGGGGAAAAAAAATGAACAGAGGCTAAATCAACTAGTCTATCTAATCAACACTAAATCAACTAGTCAAAGATAGATGCAATTCTAGTCCCAACACGTGAGAAGATAAAGGAAAAGAGAAAAAAACAGTTAATAAATAGTTGCCAGTTTTTCCGAAAATCTGATGAAAACAAATACATAGATCCAAGGGTCTAATGAATCCCAAGGAGAATACACACAAAGAAAACCATGTAAGTCAACTTACAATAAAACTGAAAACCAGTGACAAAGAGAAAAACATAAAAACAGCCAGAGGAGGGCAGAAAAAGACACGTTACAAATAATAAACAGAAGATGAAAGACGGAGTTCTCATCAAAAACTATGCATGTCAGGAGGCAATGAAGTAACATCTTCAAAGTGCTGAAAGACAAGAGAAAATTCAACTATGCTGTACCAAGCAAATTCTACACTAAACAAAAACCACTTTCAAAACTGAGGATGGAATATAAGCTTAGCAAACAAAAGAGGAGAGAATTCATCACCAGCAAGCCAGTACTATAAAGTATATTAAAGGAAATTCTTCAGGAAGGAGAATGAAATCAGATGTAAACTTGAGTTCACCCAGAAAAATGAAGAGCACAAAAATGGTAAATCTGTGAATAAATATAATCTGTATTTTGTCTAACTTTTAATGTCTTTGAATTATTACTGGTGCCTAAAACAAATGGAATCACAGTGCATCATGAAGTATATAGTATATGGAAAAGAAAGAATAAGAATAACGGCCAAGGAGACGCAGGGGGAGTGGAAGTACAGAAAGTGGTATAACATTATTTGGAGTACACTGTGATAAGCTAATGATGTTCACTCTAAACTGAGAACAATGTTTCTCTGATTTTAGCTTCCTCAGAATTACTTGAGGGACTTCACAGACCATAGACCATCTGGTCCACAGACCATCCCTAGAGCTTCTGATACTAGAAATATTGGATAGGGCTCAAGAATTTGCTTTTCTAACAAGCTCCTGGTGATGCTGGTCCAAGGAATGCAGTTTGGGAACCAATGCCTTAAAGAAATCACTAAAAGCAAATAGACAAACAGAGAAGTATGGCTAATATGCCAATAAAAGAGAAAAAAAACAGAATCATAGATGTACTCAATCTAAAAGAAGGGAAAGAAAGAAGAAAGAAAGAAAGAAAGAAAGAAAGAAAGAAAGAAAGAAAGAAAGAAAGAGCAATAGTAAACTGCCAGATTTAAACCCAACCAAAGGAAGCCAAGAATACTCAACGAGAAAAATATAATCTCTTCAATAAATGGTGCTGGGAAAACTGGATATTTTCATGCATAAAATGAAACTGAACCCCCATTTCACACCACTCACAAAAATTAACTTGGGAAGAATTAAAGACCTAAATGTAAGATCTGAAACCATCAAACTCCTAGAAAAGAACATAGGGAAAAAGCTCCTTGACATTAGGCTTGGCATTAATGTAATGGATATGTCACCAAAAGCATAAGCAATAACAGCAGAAATAAACATGTGGGACTCTATCAAATTAAAAAGTTTCTGTACAGCACAAGAAATGATCAACAAAATGAAAAGATAGCCTATGGAATGGGAAAAATATTTGCAAACTATGTATCTGATAAGGGGCTGGATTTTGTGCTAAGTGATAAAATCAGACAAAGAAAGATAAATATTGTATACTCTCATCTATATGTAGAATCAGAAAACTCCCCCCAAAACCCAAACTCATAAAAACAGAGAACAGACTGGTGGTTGCCAGGGCCAGGTGGGAGAGGTGGCGAATGAGTGAAGGTTGAAAAGAATTATAAACTTCTAATTATAAGAAGAGTAAGTTCTGGGAATGTAATGCACAGCATGGTGACTATAGTTAACAATACTGTGTTGTATAAGGTGTAAAGGTGCTAAGAGAGTAGATCTTAAAAGTTCTCTCCACACACACAGACACACACAGAAATTGTAATTATGTGAGGTGATGACTGGGTAGTCCTTTCACAATATATATATTCATATATCAAATCATTACATTGTACATATTAAACTTATGCAATATTATGTTAGTTGTATCTCAATGAAGCTAGAAAAAAATCCAATATTTTTTGCTCCATGAAATAATAAAATGTAGTATGTTTTGTAATGGATAAATATAATAAAGTGAAATAGTTTAAACACAACTAAATCCTCCAACTAAAATACTCCAATATACATGAAACAAAAACTAATAGGACTGTAAAGACAGATAAATCAATAATACAGTTGACTATTCCAATGCTCTTCTATCTGTAATTGACAGAACAAAGAGAAAAATCATAAGCGTACTAAAGACCTGAATGCCACTATCAAGCAATTGGAACTAATTGTTATTTATAGTGTGCTCTATTCCCAAACAATGGAATACAAATTCTTTTCAAGTGCATGTGGAACATTCATGAAGACAGACCATATTCTGGGCAGTAAAACAGTCTCAATAAATTATAAAGGATTGAAATCACAGAGTATATTTTCTCAAAAGAACCCAATATTGAACTAGAAATCAAAACCAAAAAGATATCTGTAAAAGCCCCACATGTTTGGAAATTAAACAACACACTTCTAAAACAACCAATGGG